TTTTGAGAGCTTTATTGGATCCCTAAATGATCAGGGTTATCTTTTGAAAAAAGGTTCAAGAGTTTATCAGCTTCAGACCATGTGAGAAGAGTCACTGTGATGAACTTCCTTGGGATGATCGTTCTGCTGGACTGATGGACCTGCAGCAGGGAGGGACATCCTGAACCCCACCTGGCACAGCGCTGGCGTTTGCTGGGCTGGAGATTCCCCTGCAGAAAATTCAACTGGAGAGCTGCAACAGGACAAACTGACACCTGGTATTGCTGCCTGGCTCATCCTACAGCTCTGCTGTTTCAAAGCACTGTGCAGGGCTGTAATGCACCTCAGCATCCTCCAGGAGGAAAGGTGTGTTTTTATACCATTACAGTGCCATAAGGGACTTTACTTCTGAAAGAGATGCTGGACCCACATACTTCAGTCCAGAAATCTTTCATGAGAGGATGATATGAGCTGTACTTTGAGCACTGTAGTTCATTTAAAGTCCAGAAATGTTTCCAAAAGGTTGTGACAGCACTGTTATGGCTGTTATCAGATGCCACTTTACTGAAACTGACTTGATTTTCTGCTTTGAAGCCAAGGTTTTATTTTCTGATTTAAGAAAAAATCCTTATTACAATATTTAATTTGTAAAGAATATTGCAATATTTGATTTGTAAAGCAGGGATTGGATTTTGACTTTCATTAAACTTTATATATGAAAAATATTATTTGTTCAAGGCTGCTTAATGGCCCTTACAAGATCTGTAACACCAACAGGTTCTGTCTGTTTCTGTGTAACTGTTCCTGACACAGAACAATGTGTGTTCAGCACGAGTAAAGTGCTGAATGTTTCCCGACTTTGATGAAATCAGAATCATGGTCTGGTGCAATGAAATAGCAGCTGAGAAGCTTTCAGTGTAAAAAATTAAAAAAAACCACAAATACCAACACCTCCCCCCTAAAGAAAAATGTATTTTTAAAAATCAAGACTTCAATGCTTATTCTTGTTTTCCCTCTTTCATTTCTCAGGTAAGAGATGATAGATGAAAAAAACCAGAAAAACTTAAACTTACCGCTTAAATTAGAGGATGAAGTACTATCAGGGACCCCATATATTGAAACTGAAAACTGGTCAGACAGTTGAAACGCTTTAAGTATGAAATTATAGTTCTATGCCTGAACTCATAAAGGGCAAAGTCTGTACTATCAACAGATGGAAAGTGGGTGTTAGGCACTGATTTTGGCTGAGTGCAGTGCTGGGGGACTCGAACGTGCCTCATGAGCGAACAAATGACTGCACCTGGAAAGTGATGGCATTCCTGTTTCTCCCTGAGACAAGGCAAACGCGGCAAGCGAGGGCCAGAAGCAAGTACCGAGCACAAGAGCCCACTTGCGCTCCCTGAGAAGTCCCTGAAGATAAAGCAAACCTTCCCCTTCCTCCCTCAAGGGCTTGTCCGAGAACGGCGCGGCCCCGCCGTGAGGAGGAGCGGGATGAACCCGGGCAGCCATGGACACCGCCGGGACCGGGCCTGGGCCGGGAGGCAGGCGGGAACGTTGCAGGTAGGCGGTGGAAGCGCTCTCCCGGGACCGGCCTTCCACCGCCAC